TAGCATCATGGCCCGGCGTTGCCTTGATTCAAAAAATCGTACGACTCATACAGCAATCTTGATAATATAAGGTCTCAAATGAAAGACATCTATTTTTCCACTTTATTGAAATATTTATAAACTTTCCGTCTGAAGTTATTATGCAAATCACCTAAACCTGAATAATTCGAATTTGCTTTGAAAAAAAAAAAAAATGTTAAATTTATAATAAACTAGCATTGGAAAAAAAAAAAAAAAAATCGTACGACTCATACAGCGATCTTTATCACTTGATAATATAAGGTCTCAAATGAAAGACATCTATTTTTTCCACTTTATTGAAATATTTATAAACTTTCCATCTGGAGCTATTATGCAAATCACCTAAACCTGAATAACCCGAATTTGCTTTGAAAAAAAAATTATTAAATTTTATAATAAACTAGCATCATGGCCCGGCGTTGCCCGTGCTTGATTCAAAAATCGTACGACTCATACAGCAATCGCTATCACTTGATAATATAAGGTCTCAAATGAAAGACATCTATTTTTTCCACTTTATTGAAATATTTATAAACTTTCCGTCTGAAGTTATTATGCAAATCACCTAAACCTGAATAATTCGAATTTGCTTTGAAAAAAAAATGTTAAATTTTATAATAAACTAGCATCATGGCCCGGCGTTGCCCGTGCTTGATTCAAAAATCGTACGACTCATACAGCAATCGCTATCTTGATAATATAAGGTCTCAAATGAAAGACATCTATTTTTTCCACTTTATTGAAATATTTATAAACTTTCCGTCTGAAGTTATTATGCAAATCACCTAAACCTGAATAATTCGAATTTGCTTTGAAAAAAAAAAATGTTAAATTTTATAATAAACTAGCATCATGGCCCGGCGTTGCCTGTGCTTGATTCAAAAATCGTACGACTCATACAGCAATCGCTATATCTTGATAATATAAGGTCTCAAATGAAAGACATCTATTTTTCCACTTTATTGAAATATTTATAAACTTTCCGTCTCATTATGCAAATCACCTAAACCTGAATAATTCGAATTTGCTTTGAAAAAAAAAAATGTTAAATTTTATAATAAACTAGCATCATGGCCCGGCGTTGCCCGTGCTTGATTCAAAAATCGTACGACTCATACAGCAATCGCTATCTTGATAATATAAGGTCTCAAATGAAAGACATCTATTTTTTCCACTTTATTGAAATATTTATAAACTTTCCGTCTGAAGTTATTATGCAAATCACCTAAACCTGAATAATTCGAATTTGCTTTGAAAAAAAAAAAATGTTAAATTTTATAATAAACTAGCATCATGGCCCGGCGTTGCCCGTGCTTGATTCAAAAATCGTACGACTCATACAGCAATCGCTATCACTTGATAAATGTAAGGTCTCAAATGAAAGACATCTAGTTTTTTTCCACTTTATTGAAAAAAAAAATATTTATAAACTTTCCATCTGGAGCTATTATGCAAATCAGGTCTCAAATAAACCTGAATAACCATCTGGAATTTGCTTTGAAAAAAAAAAAATGTTAAATTTTATAATAAACTAGCATCATGGCCCGGCGTTGCCCGTGCTTGATTCAAAAATCGTACGACTCATACAGCAATCGCTATCACTTGATAATATAAGGTCTCAAATGAAAGACATCTATTTTTTCCACTTTATTGAAATATTTATAAACTTTCCATCTCATGTGATGCCCAGAGCTTGGTGTAAATAACTTCTGATTTGTACATTTTTTGCGTCACATGTGATGCCCAGGTTTTTATTATGTGTAACCCTATATAGCAGCACATTCTATTTGCCAAATAAGCTGAGATTGCTTTGCAGTAGTTATAAATCTGAAATCAGGAAAGCATCTTGTGGTCAGATATGATGCCCCAAAACATTAGATTAGTCCTTTCCTCAGAAATCCCACTCAATAGTAGAGTCCTTTTTTTTTTAAGCGTCCTTAGTTTTACTAGTCTTTTAAAATCATCGCTCGTGTGCACTCCATATGATGCACGGACGTGAAAATCACTTGTCCTGCGCATCCTCTGTGAGGCACAGGACAGGCAAAGGGTTAAAGAGAAACATCTTGAAACTATCTAAAATATAACTCAAGCATAGTTTAGACGTCTAAATTAAGCGTTGAAAATTTGATAAAAAAAATTTCCAAGCAAATTATTTGTTATTGAAGTTTATGCGATTTGCATAATAACTTCAGACGGACTATAGATCTGATATAGGGATTTTATGAAACTTATACATCTATAGCGAGGGCCCAAGTACTGAAATATTTCAAACGTCTTCAGGAGTATGACAAGGAAGAAATGAAAATGCCAATGTATTTAATTTATGCTTAGGTTATGCTCTTTGCAGATACAAATACAGATGTAATGGACACTAATCATTTAATCCTTCCATGTCAGATTCCAAATGCATCTACTAATAGAAAACACCGTTGCTGTTCTCCCTACCGAGGCCTATGTACTGATGATAGGAGGGGTTATGGCGATGACAAAGGAATTCATAGTTGCCAAAGAATGATCTTGAACAAACAAATAAACATCTTTCACCATGTGTTCCAAAAGATAGAACTCAAAATAAACTTTCCTATATTCGCAACGTTTCGACAGTTTTATCTTCTTCAGGTGATATATAAAACAATAACTTTATTAAAACAACTTAAAACTACCTAAAGACTTAATTCAAGCAGTTTTGACGTTTAAATTAATCGATTAAAATTTGACAAAAATGATTTCCATATATTTATATATATATGACCATGAGACCCAAGTTCGAATCTCACCATGGACGATTTGTCAGAAAGGATACTTCCTGATATGATCGGACGGGAGGGGTAGATCGCAGCGTGCGGCACCTTTGGAAAGTGCCTGAAAAACAATACAACGGGTGGAACGAAGCCTTGTGAGTAAAATTAGGTAAACGGGACCCTTGAGAGCCGTCGCTAGCTGTGCTAGCACGAAGTCAAATGTCATCCCAATCGAAGGCTTAGGCCTACTGGTCTTGTTCACATTGTTGATCACGCTAGATATCACGTTAATTCCCAGAAACTGTTACTAAAGTCTGCACAGCGTAGTTACAGTATAAAACACAGAGCAGGCGTCTGTAATAGGGATTAGCTAGCCGTTCTTGTAGAGTAGACGAGTGTCCTCGTATACGAGTGGCCAGTTATCATATATATATATATATATATATATATATATATATATATATAAACCTACCGGGGTTTTCACCTAAACGGATCGTCAGACTAAATTTGTTGCGTTGGTAGGACTACACATGCGTACGACAGAAGTGTCCTGGGAATTTTAGAAATTTTTTTTCTAGCAAAATTCATTTGGAGTCTTTATTTCTTTCCATTATTTTTGAAGGAAGGTATTCGACATTGCGGTATTAAAAGAATTGCCTGGAATGGTGAAATAATGCCAAGAAGCAAATTTACCGTAGATGACCTTGCGATTAAGGCAGTCTGTTAACAAAACGAAAAGAAAAATCTAAAATTCCCAGCATTCATCTGTCGTGCGCATGTGCAGTTTTAACAACATACCAAATTTAGTCCAATGAAGGACGAAACGCGTCACAAGTAAACTTTTTTCACTTTTTCATATAATTTTCCAGATCTGTTATGTGCCATGCGTGATACACGCTTAGGCGATCATGTATCCTTCGATACATGACTTACTTCCCTCAGTAGGTTGTCATTTCTTTCTGCGGTAGACCAATTGTCATCCAAGGCTATAGAACCCAGTATGTCCTGCTATTTACTCATAGTTGGGGGAGGGGAGGGAAGAAAAGGATTAATATTTTTTCCAAGGGTATTAGCACATAAGTGAAAGTAATGGATTCGACTGGAATTCGAACTCGGCTCTCTGATTTCTCAATTTTCCCAATACTCTTCTTGATAAATGAAAATATATATTATTTCATATATATATATATATATGTGTGTGTGTGTGGGTGTGTGTGTGTGTATACATATATATGTTTGTGTATGTGTATGTGTGTGTGCATATATATATAGTTTTTGTGACGGAAAAACGAGCCCGGAAAAAATGTAAAATAAACACGACTAAAATATTTTGCTTACTTTTAACTATTTTAATAAATGGAAAACATTATATGGTTTCAGATTTGACAATCATTTTTTGCCAAATGAATTAATGTAGTGATCAATTTTAATTAATGTAGAGTTCAAAAAATAAAAATTCATTATGTTTTTGATTGATCGAACTTAATCCGTTCAATTGCCATTTCCTTGATTTTTTTCTTGTTTAGTTTCCCGTTCTCCAACGTCGGAAAGTCATCGAAGTGCAGAAAATAATTCGGAACCATTGTCACCCAATCAAAACTGCTCTTATATTGCATGTTGTTTTCACAAAACTGCCTCAGCGAGCCGCTATCAAACTTCCGCCCAGGAAAGAGTTGGACGCATGCGCAAACATCTTCCCCACAATTGACGTCTGGTACACCGACTACCACAACATTCTGTACATCAGGATGCTTATCAACATAGGATTCTATCAATTGTATCGGGAGTTTTACAGTTCCCTTGGTGATAAAATCTGATGTTCTCCCTTTCATTATAAGGTCTCCCCCTGGCAACATCATAGCAACGTCTGTTGTTTGAAGCCAGCCATCATTAATGGGACTATTAAAGCCACCGCCATCGTAATTTTTTGTTATCCATGCACTGCGCACAGAGAGTATCCCAGTCTCTCCAAACTTGACTGTCTCATTTCGGTCATTCACAATCTTTACTTCAACACCCTGAAATGGTCGGCCTAACATCCCTTGCTCGTGATCTTTGATATTAGAATCCGTAAAAATCCTATGCGATATTACGATGGCTTCTGTGCTGGCGTAGACAACTAGCATTTTATCTGCGAAGATAAACGAATGGTTGATCATTTCTTTTGTAAGTAAATCTCCACCAGACGCAATATACCGAATTCGAAAGCCGAAATCTCGTAAATCCTTTAGATTATACGGAGCGAGGCCTACAAAAGTGCAGCCTTCCTTTCGCCAGATATCGACAACTGTTTCGAAATTTTCGGGCTCACTCAAAAATATAGTGTCACCGCTAACGAACCTCGTACCTGTATTTAAATAGCAAAATGGATAGCCGCCAATATAGGCCATGGGACGGCTGTTGTATATCACATCGTCGCAAGTGATATTTACGTCTTCATCGTGAGTAGCAGTACAGTTAAGGACGTTAAAATGAGAGTGATGGATCTTTTTAGGAGTGCCTGTTGTTCCAGATGTCAGACATATGAAAGCAGTATCCTCAGGATCCAACACAGGGAATTCTAAAAAGCTTCCATCATCCTTGGCATTGATTTCAGCAATTAGTTCCGATGCCTGAAGTACGTTAGCGGGCCTACTGTCAGATGAGACAGCAATAGCGATTTTCAAAGAAGGGCATGTGTCGCTAGTGATTTTACCACCTGGGTGAATTTTAGCTACAGACAATAAATCATCCCAGTTCTCTTTGGCATCTAGAATGATAAAAGTGCATTTGTCAAGAGCCTTGCTGATATCGGCGGCACCAAGAAGCAGATGAACTGAAATTCCCCCTGCCATCAAGATACCCACGTCGTACGTCATCCAGTTGATGCAATTGGAGACACAGTAGGCTACGGGGTCGCCTTTCTTAATGCCTAGTTTAAGAAGACAGCGCGCAAATTTGACGGACCTGTCGTAGAGTTCCTTTCTGTAAGAGAAAAAGAAAAGACGAGAGAGTTGTAATTAATAAACCTTTACTGATAATTGTTAAGTATTGTGTCTCATTTTGGTTTGAAGTGTTGCCAGTCCTCTAAATTCGAACAAATTTCATCTACGAACGTTAACAGGCTGAAAATAATTAAGTATATATAAACATGTCATATCCTCACAGTAACAGACGGCAGAAAATTTGGCAGTAAAACCGAAGGCGCATTGGAAGAGTGAAAGATACCTTCCAAAAGCTAAGCAAAGTATTAAGAAAGTGGAAAATTAAATTAGAAACAAAGAAAAGTGTAGAGTCGGAGTTAATATCAAGTCACCATTCTGGTAGAAAGTGTGGTACATATAAGGGGACAAGAGAAATGTGGGCCTACCGAAGTATGCTGAGAATACAATAGACTTAACATGTGGGCAACGAGGAAGCTATAAGTAAAATTAAAACAACAACAACAAAAACAAAACAAAAAAAATCCCACTTATATTTAAAATCAGAAAAAGATTGATAAAATTTCCAGGGCACATACTGAGGAAAGAAAGCTTGGAAAATTTCACACACACAAGACATATTGAATTCAAGAGGGAGAGATGAAGACAGCGAATCACTTACCTATCAAGAGTATGTAAACGTCCGGCAGAACCGAAAGTAAGAGGGATTGCGAAAAGCAAAAACTTACTCAGAGCTAGAAAGGACAGGCAATTGTGGTGAGCCATGATCGTCCAAGGATGACGGTACATAGCGGAAGAATATTTCATTAGAAGAAAATGCTGAACTACTATGTAATATTAGTCCCCCGACAAGACAGTGAATGCTTAATAATTTCCTTACAGATGAGGCAGTAGAAATGTGGTTCTACAGACGAATTTTGAGAATATCATGGCTCGAGAATGTGAGTAACGAGCAAGTTTTAAGGAGAATGGAAACAGAAAGGACTTTTGCAATAAGAATCAGAAAGAAAACGTTGAAGTTTTTGGGTTAATTAGGAAAGAAGACTAGGAACATTTGACATTAACAAGACATAGATTGTGTTAGATATTTTAAAAAAAGATTTAAGCTTTTGTTAGTATGTCCATTGTAAAGGGGTTTAATTTCGAAACTAGCTATCTATTTGTTATCATATTTATTTTCTAGTTTTACAATCAGGTTGCCTGAATATTTAACACGTGATGGGTTGAATGTTTCGATAAGAGTGTTAAAATATTTTGTTATGGCTTTCGCTAATTTGTCGGGAGGGCTACCAATGGCTGGTATAATGGAGAACATCGGAATGCCTGCATTTTTAGTTTTAGGTAGACGATAAAGTTTGGGTGTTCTAGGGTGATATTCTGTTAGTTTATACAAGTTTTCAGTAACCTTTTGGGAAGAACCGGTCAGACAGCTATGGGGGAAGCTACATAATATCAAATGTACTATAATAAACAGTCTAGGCACAGGATAGCTTATTTCAGAAGGTTGTCTTGGTCTAGATGTTTAAAGAAAAAAACAACCTATGTAATGTTATATTATTTAAACAAGGTTCCTTATTTAATGCACGAATGACAGGATAACATCTAACACAATAAACAAAACTAAAAATTCTTTACAGCAGACGAAATTAATTAGAAATGTCAAACTATTTAATGAGACACATGTTGCTGCTAATTGTTCGCTAACTACTCCACATCCAGTTAAATCCATGCCGATGACAAGAGCAAAGCATCATCCAGATGGTCATCACACAACCTGGTTCTTAAACGAATTTTATTATATTCCATTTTCGACAAAAAAAACAAACTTGTTCATGATCATATGTAACTCCAAGTAATGATGCCATCGTTTTCGCATTATTCAAATGGCTTTTATAATTTCCGCTTGGCAAAAAGTATTTCGTAGTTTCGGAATGAAATTTTGATTAAAAAAAAAAATTCATCGAGTCGATTAACTCCAACTGATATCTTTTTCTGTCACTTACTCTACACCTTTTTTTGTGAGAAGTCCGAAATAATTTAAATTGGTTTCCATTTTGACGGAAGTCAGCGAAACATAAGGAAACCTCTCTTCTCAAATGTTGGACAGAGCTCACAAAGATGTCTGGTATAATATCTCTCTTGTGATTTTGGAGATTTGGAAAATGAGAGTAATTTGTTTTCTGATAATATGATTCTCTAATGTATCAATCTGTTCCACCGTTTTTATTCGTCTAAGACATTGAACATGGGAAAAATATGTAAGGTAGCCATACTATGTTTCTACGTGTTTTAGAAGTTCCCGAAATTGGCGTTTTCTTTCACAGACAGTAATTTAACCAAACATCTCAAATATAAGCTTGTTCTTTCGTTGAAACTCAAGATTCAAAGTGATGACCACTATAAATACTAAGGTGATAATCCACTGTGGGTCCTGAAAGTAAGAATTGACTTGGTCTTTGCTCTACAAAATCATTGCAATCTTTTCTCTAATGCATCAACTCGTTCCAGCGTTTTTATACATCTAAGATATCGAACATATGAAAAATATGTAAGGTAGTCATACACGGTTTCTACGTGTTTTAGAAGTTCCCGAAACTGGCGTTTTCTTTCACAGACAGTAATTTAACCAAACATCTCAAATATAAGCTTGTTCTTTCGTTGAAACTCAAGTTTCAAAGTGATGGCCACTATAAATGCTAAGGTGACGATTAAGTTGGTGGGCTGGGAAAAAATCCTTCGAAAGCTGGATGTGTCCCAGTGGCCTGGGGATTGCCGTTCCATGATTAGTTTTCATCATAACTCGCTTTCTAATCGCTGTATTAAATTTCTGTTTCCGTAATTATTCCGTGTCTATTTAGATTGCCGGATGTGCAGCTATCTTTCATTAGTAAATTAATTTTATCATTGTAAATGTTTTATTCATAATAGCAATCTCACCTCCATTGTCCGAGTTGATAATATAGATTTCCTCATGTTTTCGTTAGATTTCTAACAACATTTCACCTTCCTTGAAAGAACTTCTATTAACACAAAATATTAAATAACAAGAAAGTGATAAACATATAAGGAAAAGGCATCTGTATGAAATCGGCCAGACTATATAGACGAAACATATGTTAAAAATAATTAAATTTAGATTAAACATTATCACAGTCACCGCTGATCCGTGCCGATGGACACTCGCATCAACGCAAATGTCCCTTTACTTCGATGATGTCCTACAGGGCGTAACGCATCACGCCAAACCTTTTTTCCTTTGTCATAGATTTAACTAATATATATATATATATATATATATATATATATATATATATATGAGAAGATAAAGTGAAAACAGAAAACGTTAATCAATCCAATATGTTTTAGTTTTATTAAAGCTTTGTCGGACATTGAGAGAAAACAGACAAAAAAGGCAGAACTTTGGTATTTTCAATTTATATATATATATATATATATATATATATATATATATATATATATATAAGAGAAATAAAGGAAAACAGAAAACGTTAATCAATCCAACATGTTTTAGTTTTATTAAAGCAACAGACAAAAGGCAGAACTTTGGTATTTTCAATATATATATATATATATATATATATATATATATATATATATATATATAGTGGACTCTTTTATCGTGAACGATAAATGAGGTTTGCCAGTGGATGGTGTCTTTCGTTATGCATGCTAGCAGGGGCTATTGTGGAGAAATGGAAAGAAGAAAAGGGAAGTGAGTTAAAAGGCGAAAGGGAAAAGATAGATATGAACATACTGAGATCATTAGATAGACTGGAATAAAATAATAGTGATATTTCGATGAATACTGAGATAAACTAGAATAGACTATATATATATATATATATATATATATATATATATATATATATATATATATAAATTTATAACATGTGCATATTGTAAAATATCAGTGATATTATAACATGCATATGTTATAAATTTCAATAAATATTATTAGCTCTACTCGGTATTGAGCATTCTTTTAAGAATAGTCTTTTTAGTTATTATCGGAATTTTATTCCATGTGTACCAACCCTGTACTTTTATATGCATATATATATATTGATAAGAATATAATGCTATATTTATGGGTAAAAGTGCTCAGTATCTGAGATACAGCTTATGTCAATATAAATGTAGGCAATGAGATCAACACCAAGTCTGTTTCAAGTATCAACGCAATCGTCAGGCCTTGTTTGTTGTGGTTCGACTATTTGTATAAACAGGACAATGTTGCACTGTGTGTAACAGGTTCTATTGCATTATCGTAACACTTACTGGGTAGGCGTTAACGGTCATGTTTCAAATTATTCTAGATGCCAGTTGAGAAGGAATAATTGTGGTTCTGAATGCAGTTATTTGTAATTATTTTATAGTGTTATATTTTTTACGCGCCTATACATACATATATATATATATATATATATATATATATATATATATATATATATATATATATATGTCTTACAATGATTGGACAACTCCGAGTTTCATACCGAACTAATTTTCAGTTTCTTAATATATATAATAAATAGCTCTGTTACTTAACATTGTGAACTGCTTTTTCTTACACTATAGAGCATTTATATGTATACGATCGTTCGCTCGTATACCTACCTATATTAACACATTCGGCTTTATCTATCTCTCTCTCTCTCTCTCTCTCTCTCTCTCTATATATATATATATATATATATATATATATATATATATACGTTCTGTGATGTAAGAAAATCCTGGAATATAATGTGTAAAAACACAACTAAAATATTTTGCATGTTTTTAGTTATATTAATATATCGATAACGTTAGGATATGGATTGATTATTTTTGTTGATCACTCTTAATCCGTTCAATTGCCATTTCCTTGATCTTTTTCTTGTTTAGTTTCCCATTCTCCAATGTCGGAAAGTCATCGAAGTGCAGAAAATAATTCGGAACCATTGTCACCCAATCAAAACTGCTCTTATATTGCATGTTGTTTTCACAAAACTGCCTCAGCGAGCCGCTATCAAACTTCCG